AAAAATTATTTATTATGTATACAACATTCTGCTTCCATGTATATCTGCACACCAGCAGAGGGCACCAGATCTCATTACAGATGTTTGTGAGCCACCATGTGGTTGCTGGGAATTGGACTTAGTTCCTCTGGAAGAGCAGTCAGTGCTCTTAACCTCTGAGCCATCTCTCCAGCCCACCCCTTTCTATTTTTGTGTCCGCGTTCCTTCCCGAGTGTCAGTGCGGGCACATGTAACCACAGTGCAAGCGTGTAGATCAGAAGACAACCTGGGTGTCAGTCCTCACCTTCCTCCTTGAGATGGGGTCTCTTGGATTCTCTGCCTCCCATCTCACTGTAGGAGAGCAGGGATTACAGATATGTGGCATGACACTGAGTCTTACATTGTTTTTAGGGTTCCAAACATTTACACGTTAAGTGCTTTTCGCACTGAGCAATAAATATCCTAGTCCCCTGTTCCCCTTTAAATTCGATCTTGCTGACTTGCTCAGGCTGGTCTCAAATTCACGATCTTCCTGCTTCTGCCTCCCAAATGCCTAGGATTACGGGTGTGCCCAATCACCCTATCACTAATACACTAATCTATCCTATCCTCCCTCTGAAATGGGGGGGGGGGTTACTATATACCCCAGGCTAGCCCATAATCCTCCTGCCTCATCCTTCTAGGTTCTAAGATTATGCACCAACTTTAGGTGACTGCTGCCTCTCTCCTTTCACCATTCCGTGTCATCCTGTACCATGCTGCCTGTGTGGGCTCGCCCCTTTTTTGACTTCCACCAAAAGACGTTTTCACTGGGCTCCGGAAGCAAGGCACCTTTGCGTTAGGACCTGGCTCTGCCACTTCCTGAAGTGATCCATGCTTAGGGTCCCCCAGTTAGTGTTCCCCTGCGCTGTCATGAGTACTGAGAGTGCTAACAACCACTGAACCAGAGAGAGGACTGGGCAGGGAATGCAGTGGAACCCCTGCTTAGGCTCCCCCGGTGGGAACTCAGATGTGGCTTATCAGCCGTTGCCACACCTTCCTCAGCTGGAATCAACTCCTCCGAATTACCCCACTGGGCACTCTCAGCCAGGAAGGAGAGAAAGCTCCCATGTCCTCACACTGATGGTCCCTGCCTGTAACTCTAGCACTTGAGAGGCAAAGGCCGGAGGATTCTCTGTTTGAGGTCAGCCTCAGCTACAAGTAAGACCATCTCTCAAAGAGTCTAAATAAGTAGAAATAAAATTCCTGTTGTTTGACTTTATTGGTTTTACTCTCATTGCCAAAGTGTGCCCATTGTAATAAGTTAGAATATTGTAAACATGGAAAATACAGAAAGTGCCAATCCCTCAGGAATGTCATTTTAGCGGTGCTAAAATATTACCTTGGGATAGGTATGGTGGTACACACCTTTTATCCCAGCGCTCGGGAGCCAGAGATAGGAGGAACATGGCCACTATGAGTTTGAGGCCAGCCTGTCTACAGAGTTTCAGGCTAGCTACTGCTGTATAGTGAGACAATGTCTCAAAAAAGATTTTTTTTTATACTTGGCCCCAAATTTTATTCTGAATTTATAGAGGGAAATATTTGCTGTTTTTTTTTCTACAAGGCTGTTTCATTTTCTTGTGTCCCATCTAAGTATCTTAAAATGTGTATGTAGGCAAGGCAATGATGGTACACTTCCTTAATCCCAGCATTTGGGAGGCAGAGACAGGTGGATCTCTGTGAATTCGAGTCCGGCCTGGTCTACAGAGATGGTTCCAAGACAGCCAGGGCTACACAGAGAAACCCTGTCTCAAAAAAAAATAATAATAATAATAATGTATGTTGTAGGCATAGATAAAGGCCTTTATTGTCCCAACTGCTTAGGAGGTTGAGGCAGGAGGATGCCTTAA